CAACAGATTAGAAGCTTACTTTCCCCCACATAGTCACAGTTTCTAGGAATGAGGACCCAAAAATTTTTCAGGGATCATTGTGCTTATGATAGACAGAAAAACTGAGAGTAGAGGGGACGAGGAACCTGTCTAAGATCATACAGCTAGTTTGTAGTAGGACCAAGAATAAAGACAATTTTTTACTATTTAAATAATATAGATATTTTTTAAAGGAGATAGGATTCTGTAATGTCATCTCTGAAATAAAAATTGATTAAGAGATTGGATATTATTATAGGTATTTCTCTACATATACAGTCCCAGCTGTGAGCCCCTCCCCCTACAAAAAATAAAGTAAAATAAGAACAGGCTTATATATGGCTTTTGGCAATTTGCTTTTCTCTCTTTAATGTATCTTGGATAGCTTCCCATGTAAGAACACAGAATTCTACTTTCTTGCTTTTCATTGCTACATAGGATTGTATGGAGATATTATAATTTATATATCCAGTTACCTATTATTGGATACTTGGGGTACTCCTTTTTCCTCTATTATGAACTCATATCTTTGTATATTTATGAATTTACTGAATTTACATGAAAACTTTTTTAGGAACTCCTAGAAATACTCCAAAAGGATATAAACATTTTGTTTAAATTTTGTATCAAATTTCCCTGTAAAATATATCCGTATATACACATCCATTACTAGGGTCTGAGAAGTCAGTTTTCCAATGTCCTTAAGAAGACAGTTTACTGATTTCAGAAGTGAAAAAAACTAAATTATTTGGCTTTTATTTTGTTATAAGTGAACGTATTTTAAAACATATTCATCATTTTTATTTCTTCTGTGAGTCACCATCCTGCGTCTGTCTGTGCTGGCGATTGAACCCAGGGCCTCTCCACGCTAAACCCACACTCCACCACTGGGCTACACCCAGTCCCTTCTTAGTGATTTATTTTATATATTAAGGACAATAATCTTTTGCTATATCTTGCAAATATTTTTCCTAATTCATGGAGGGATTTTAGCAAAGTCATATTAGATCTGGGCTTAAGAAATCTCTCTTTAGTAGCTTGAATGCTAGCTTAAGGAGCTAGACTTTATTATGGAGCTGTATGCACTTAATTTGAGGATGGATGAGAGTGCTGTGCTTTATGAAGGCAGTGTTGCCTGTTAAACCTACCACAGATTACAGATCCCATCCTTCCTTCTAGGGTGGCAGGGTGAACAGAGCCAGTAGATTGGAAATAGAAATTTAAAAAAAAAATAAAGAGGCTTTCTTTAACTTCCTAGAAGAGTCTTCAAAGAGTGGTACCTTTCTGTGTTCCTGTGATCAGTAAAAGCAGGGACTGTCTTTTTATTTATTTATTTTTTCATATTAGGAATTGATCCCAGGGACCCTTTATCACCAAGCTACATCTTCAGTCTTTTCTTTTTCTTTCTTTTGTTTTGTACCAGGGATTGAGCCCAGGGGCACTCTACCACTGAGCCACATTCTCAGCCCTTTTTATTTTTCATTTTGAGACAGCGTCTCACTAAGTTGTTTAGGGCCTTGCTAAGTTCTGAGGCTAAGTTGCTGAGACTAGCCTTGAACTTGTGATCCTCCTGTCTCAGCCTCCTAGAGTCACAGGGATAACAGGCGTGTGCCACCAGGCCTGCCTTAGTTTTTTTTTTTTTTTTTTTTTTTTTTTTTGTGCCAGAGTCTGGGTGAGGTGGGGGGGGGGGGTTTGTTTTGCTGGGGGTTGAACCTAGGGCCTTGTGCATGCTAAGCATATATCCCCTGTCTTGACTGTCTTTAATATACACAATGAAGAAGGAAAAGACTACTTCTCAAAATACAATTAAAATCATAGGGAAAATTAAGCATTGGGATAACAAGCCAAGTGGTTTTTTGTTTGAGACAGGGTCTCACTATGTCACCCAGGCCGGCCTCAAATACTTGGGCTCAAGTGATCCTCCTGCCTCAGCCACCTGAGTAGCTGGGACTACAGGCACACAACATCACACCCTCCTCTATATTTCATTTCCGGAGAAAAGGAATAACTGCCTTTTCTGTCAACTGATCATTTTCTGTTTCTATAGCTTTTCAGAGTTTTATTACACATATTGTCTCTTCAGAGTTCTCAGATGGTGCTTTCAAAATCTGACCTATAATATATGATCAGTGTCTTCAGATTCCAATAAAATGGTTATGGTTGAGATAGGCACACAGGGATGATTGGAGGTGCAGTAGTGGGAATCTACCTTGGAGCATGCATTCTAGGTTCTGTTAGCTCTAGTAGGCAGAAGTTCTGAATTTGTCCAGTAAAAAGTAAACTAGAAGTTCAAATGTTAAGCTACTTCCTTCCTAAAAGACAGTGTTGGATGAAATCTCTTATATTATTTTGTACTAGGGATTGAACTTGGGGCACTCAACCACTGAGCCACATCCCCAGCCCTTTTTTATATTTTATTTAGAGACAGGGTCTCACTGAGTTGCTGAGGTTGGCTTTGAACTCACGATCCTCCTGCCTCAGCCTCCCAAACTGCTGGGATTACAGGCATGCACCACTGAGATATGTACCACTGTGCCTGGCCAGTGTTGGCTGAAATATGAGTGAATAAATGAGCAAATGGAGGGAAAGCATCAGCTGAAGCTTCAGTGAAGAGACAGGGAGGACATGACTCACACCTCGGATGGGGAGAGTCTTTATTCAGTGGCCATCCATGTGCTGGCCTTGGACTACACAACCAGGCCAAGTCCTGGAAGACCTGTTGTGAACTTTTTCCCTGCCTGGACATGTTGACTATGGCTAGTTCCATTCATTACCTAATAAATGATTAACAAGACTGCTTCTGCCTCGTTTCATAATACTAAATAACGGTGTTTGCTAAAATAATAGCAATTTGTTCTAATAAAACAGCCTCCAACAAAACTACTTTTTGATCACAGCATCACCCCAATCTCGGCACTGGCATTCTGATAATAATACCAATGGTAAGACACTTAGTATAAACATATCTGGATACCTATTAGAATAGCTATTATAAAACCAAAACCAAAGCCAAAATAAGTGCCGGTAAAGATGTGGAAAAAGGAGAACACTTGTGCATTGCTGATGGAATGTAAATTGGTACATACAGCCATTCCTGAAAAAATTAAACAGAATTGCCATGTAATCTAGTAATTTCAGTTCTGGGTATATACCTAATAGAAGCGAAAATAGGGACTCAGATATCTGCACACTCATGTGCAGGCACTACCCATAGGTGGGAGCAACCCATGTGTCCAGACATGATGAATGGATACACAAAATGTAGTATAGACATACAATTTGGCCTTTGAAAGAAGGACATTCTGTCACCTGCTATGATGTAGATGAACCTAGAAGATATTAATTAAGTGCAATATGCCAACCACAAAAGGACAAAAACTATGTGATTCCACTTATAGGAGCTTCGTGGAGTAGTCAAATTCATACACACTGAAGGCAGAATGATGAGGCCCAGGGCTGGGTGTGGGGAGAGGGAGTGGGGAGTTAGTGTTTAACCTGCACAGAGTATCTGTTACCTTCCTGGAAGATGGAAATGTTCTGGAGATGGATGATGGTGATGATCGCCCAATGACATGAATGTACTTAATGCCATACTACCGTACACGTAAATATGCTCATCTTGTGTAATCTTTTAGCCATAATTTTTGAAAAAGCAGGGTAGGGGAGAAGTTGGCAGGACCTGGAGTAGACAAGAGATAACTTGTTTAATGTTTCACTGGTTGGCCGTACTATTCTCTTCCCTCAGAGAAGCCACGTTTTACAAAGGGAAACTTTCAGGAGGCAGATGGTGATGTGTTTTGTTGTGTTTTGATGTGTTTGTTTGGGGACTGCATCTTCAGTTGGTTATAAACGCTCTGTGGCAGGGATTGAAGACTATTTACAAAGAATGGTGGGGTAAACTTTAGTGGTTCCCATAGGGATCTCTGAAATCTCTGATCTCTGAAATTTAGGCACACAACAAATGTTTGTGGATTTAAACAGAAAGCTCTGACTTACCTTCATTTACGATTTGGGAGTCAGCCCCGCCTCTACCCAAGGATGTGGTCATATTTTAAAAATTAAGTGTAGTACGTATACATTGCACTTATGTATGCCAGACTGTCCTAAAGGCTTTTCACATATCTATTCATTCAACCCTAATAAGCCTGTGCGGTACGTACTTGTTTCCCATTTGACAGATGAGAAAACTGAGGCACAGTGAGAGAAAGTTATACAATTATAAAGTGGTGGATCTGGGATTCCACAGGAAACATTTTATGAAACCAGAGCTCATTCTCCAAATTATTATACACCTCTTGCTTCTTGGAATAGTAACGTTCTAGTCCGGGACTTTAATGACCCTGAAATGGATCTCAAGGTCCAGAATGGAGAACGTAAATTGGGGATGAAGACATCTTTGATTATGATCCTGATTCTCTACTTCAGCGGCGTGGTTGGTCTCCTGAGGGTAATGCCGGAGCCAGGTTTAAGGGCTTTCGGGATTAAGGTCAAATTTTTTGAACCTAAGGAATTTCCCTCCAATTCTAAAGCAGCCCCTTAGTGACGAATCTGCGGCGTAGCCCACGGGTTTTGCTATTAGCAGATTTCCTAAGTGATCAAGGCAGACGAAATGAAACACCATTTCATGAACACTGAGCCACGTTGAACCCTATATAAATCTTTTTTTCTAGTCATTTCAAGATACAGCTCAAGACGAATCTGCAACTTTGGAGTGGAAGCCAGGGGGCGGGCTGAGCAGCGACCATTTTTGTTTTGCGGCCTTGCGCTCTCAGAGCATCTTGATTAACAGGACCTCACGGAGGAGGCGGGGCCTGCCAGGGGGAGGGGCGGGGCCTGAGAGACGTGATGATTTAAACTGACTAATAAGCAGGACGCATCTGGCAGAAGCCGCCAATGACAGAGCGTGTTGGGGCGGGGCGCCCAAACCCTAGTGGGTTTGGTTGTGCCGCTGCTTTGGCGCATTTTCGGCTGGTTTGATTCATCCATTTTGAAGAGACGGGGGAGCGGGGGGCTCGTCTGATCCAGGGGCCCTGAACCAAGGAGCGGCGGAGTTTGAGAAGCCAGCATCTCGGGGTTCGGCGGCAGCGGCCCCATCGGCCGAAGTTCGGGGGGGGGGGGGCGCCGAGCGCGGGGGGGGGGGGGGGTCCTGGTCTTTGGCTTCTCGACTCGGTCCTGTTTCGACAGCGAACATGTCTCGGCCTGTCAGGTCAGTGCGGAGTCCGAGGCCTGGAGCGGGTTGGAGGGGGTTGGGGGTGAGTGGCGAAGGAGTGGGAGACGGAGCCTAGAATCGGCCCTCCCGGTTGCCACGCGCGGCCTCCTCCCTTTCGGGGCCCGCGCGCGCCCTTGAGCGTGGGGGGCCCTGTTGGCGCGCGGGGGTGGCGGCAGCGCGCCCGTGCGCGCGCCCCTCCCCTACCCGCGCCGCTGCAGGGCTCCGGTCTGCTCTGATGCCTCCCCCACCCGCCGCACTGGAGCGGGCGGGGTGTTCCCGAACCGCCAGGGCCAGAGGGGGAGGGGTGTGAAGTCAGCGCCCCCAAGCAGGCCCCACCTCCTCGGGGCGGGCCCCTCAGATCCCGTGAGGGAGACTGGCAGACTCGCGCTCGGCCCCCCCAGATTCGGTGAGGAGGGGCGCAAGCACGGTGTTGCCCCTTCATCCCGCGCCTTGCGTCGGGGTGGGGGCACTCGCCCTCCAGCTCCAGCGGACAGGGTGTTCCACGCAAAGGGGGAGGGGCAGCAGTGCTGCCCGGCCCCGCCTCCGTCCTCGGGGTCGCTCCAGGCCCCGCCTCCCGGGCCGGACGTGGGCGGGACCCGTTCTTTACCCTTAGAGCAAAAAGTTGAGGGATTGGACCCCCCAAAAATAATGCACGGCTCTCTCTCCCCACCCCGGAGTTTGGAGAACTTTAACCCCGAAGTTCGCTCTTTCCTCCGACTAGAAATGTCCTTCGGGGAAATGTCCGTACTCAGGGAGGTGCGGGTTAACAGCACGACCCAAATCCCGTGTGGTTCTCGTTCCGCCCTAACCCGGCCTACACGTCTCGGGATATTTCTGTAACCCTCTCCCTCCCCGGAGTGACTTTTTAATCATAAAGGGGCTAGATTCCGTTAACCATCAGACTTTATTCTCAGAATTTCAACAAGTTTGCTGCTCCCCCAGCGGTCGGTGGGATCGCCCTCTACCATTCTCCAGGCTGTTGTATGGAATGTGCCATTTACGGAGGGGTGTGGTTTAGTCCGATCTGTTAAGGCCTTAAAGAGGAGAGCTGTTGTAAATAAATACACTTACTATAAAGGATTGGCTACTTTGTATAGTGTTTTCTAAACAGATATTTAGTTTTTAAACGTTTTCATGCTTGTCGATTTCCCTTCATTCCAAGTTTTGTGGGCAACAGAAGTATTTTGAGAGTTCTAAAAAGAGGTTTGGGATCCTGGGAACGGTTTTGTTGCACACCATTCTGTCTCCTACTAGATGATCCGTTTCCAACTGGTGGTGGTATGGGACTGCGTACTCCTATGCCTGGGTGGGAATGCAGAGAATGAGCTAACTACCTGACTGCTTCTATGCCATCCAACTTCAATCCGCATCTCTATAAATCACCACCTACTGACAAAGTTTTGCAGGCTTTTTGGTAAGGAGTCTAGATGGCTCTTTCAAATTACAGTGTGAATACTTTTTTGGCATAGAAAGTGGCCAGTGTATTTCATCAGGATATTTTTCCTTAGGATCAGGTAATTAGACAATATTATAATAAAGATTTATTTTATCTGGATTTGATCTTTTGTCTCCTGGAAGTAATTACTGTGTGGTGAAACTAAATTACTATTTTTCCCTGCCATGAAATCAATACACTAGGTTGTGATGAATTTGTATTCCTATATTTATTTATTTATTTTTAATTTTTTTGTATTCCTATATTTAGATAATGAAATATCCACAGAACTTTTTTACTGGGAAAATTTGGGGTTATCACTTTGTGGACATAAATATATTAAGAATATTTATTATTTTTTGGAGGTATTGGGATTTCTGCACAACTTTTTCTTAATGTGTTGTTAAAAATAATTAAACTTTGTCTATCCCCATAATTTGAAGAGCGAAGTCAATATATTGTGGGCTTCTCTTTTGTCACTTTCAAATTATTAATTTCAGAGCAGTTTGGTTTCTGATTATATTTTAGTGATAAAGTCTCTGTAATTATTTTTTAAAGATTCTTTAATATACTTATGACCAATAATAAAGCAGAAACAAATAAACTTGAGTTTGGTTGTTTGTCAAATTTTGCTATAAATAAGTCCTAGCTTAGGGAAATGATATAGTTTCAAAGTGTAATTGAAGAATCTATATTACCTTAGATCATTTAATAACAAGAATGTAGACATTGACTTGATTTTAAAACAATCAAAAAGAAGTATATGTTGAAAAATATCAATGTCAGTGCATCATTTGCTGTACATTTCTGTCCATGGACCATTTTTCTAGTTCTCGTTTTTACTGTAAATGTTTATTTTAATATAAACCTAAATATTTAAAGGGCATTTAGAAATGAATTAATGGTGCTTTGACACCAGTATCTAAATAAAGCATATAATGGGCTGATTGGATACAGCATGGTTTTCCATGGAGGTCTAGGTTGATAGTACATTATTTCTTTTTAAATTATTTATTTCATGGTGCTGGGGATTGAACCCAGGGGCTCATGCATGTTAAACATATGCTTTGCTACTGAGCCACATCCCCAGCATAATATGTTATTTCTAAGTAATTTTTTTCATACAAGGTAGCTATCTTTACCTTTTACAGTATTTATGACAGCTCAAATATGTTGAGCCTTAGTTTTAAATTAATAGCATAAAACTATAATCCTGGAACTAGAAAGAAAGGACAACTCAGTTCACAGGACTTAATGTGCTGGACAAGTGACATGCTTTGTATCACATACTACTAGTAGGTCCCAAAATTGAATCTAGAACCTAGTCTTAATTCCCCATAGTAATCACTTCTGCCTGAGAAGTAGTAATAATGTCTGTGGTGATTCCAAAACAGTATATGGTGTTTTTTAACTTCAGAGTGCTTTTGTGACTCTTAATCCTTGTATAGAAGGAAGGAAAGTACCACTTGTAAAAGATGAGAAAGAAAGCTCAGATTTACTGACTGGCCCTCACTAGAAACCAGGTTTCTTGATCCAGCTTGGTATATTCTCCAGGGATCCTCCTCCCTTGTTGAAAATGATCTAAGTCACTCAAGTCAGTCTTACTTGCTCCTCTTTGTAACAGAGGTGTGCTTGATATCTTTTGTTTAATACTTGAGAATACAAAGAGTCTTTGCCATTGAAAATTTAAATGTGAAAACAGAGGCTCTTACAAGTTACTTTTATTGTTTATAATTACAATGAAAATTAACAGTTTTCCCAAGATTCCAGATTGCTTTCTTTTCAAGAATGTGTGTTTGGACTCTAAAAATGTTTGTAGCAAAAAAAAAAAAAAAAAAAGTTTCAAGAATCCCTCAGTTGGGGCTCGGGTTGTGGCTCAGTGGTAGAGCATTTGTTTAGCATGTGGGAGGCACTGGGTTCAAGTCTCAGCATCACATTATAAACTAATAAAGATTGTGTCCATCTACAACTAAAAGTAATGCACATACCAAAAAAAGCCCTCAATTATAGGGAAAACTTAGAAACCTGGAAATTCAAGGTAGCTTGGAATTTGTTACCAAGCAAGCACAGGATGACACTTAAGTTGTTATGGCTGTAAATAAGCCAGTTTCCTTATATCTCTTCAGGTATTCTTTTTGGTGTTTATGGATATGTGCGAGATGAGTATGACTTTATTAACCTTGGGTCCATACATTTTATTATTAGCTTTTATCTAAAAAGACAATCCCAGACTGGGTGTGGTGGTCCACACCTGTAATCTCAACTACTGTAGAAGCTGAGACATGGTTTGAAACTTTGAAGTCAATTTAGTGAGACCCTGTCTCAAAAACTGAAAAGGGCTGGGGATGTGGCTCAGTGGTAAAAACACCCTTGTGTTCAATCCCCAGAACCAGGAAGAAGGAAAAAAAAGGATAACATAATTTTAAAAGCCTGAATAATGGGGAAGTTGGTTTTATGAGAAATTAAAAGCACTCAACTTTTTCAACATTTGATTAATTAAAATAATAATACAATGATTAAAATAGAGTAGACTACTGAATAAACATTCATTGAGAAAAAAATGCAGCCAGGCACTGTGCTTTCACTTTATCTTGTTTTATCCTTTCTAAAAATATTTAACCAGGGTATTTTTTTTTAATACCCATAAAACAGAAAAACTTAAAAGCTTTTGTTACTCAAGGTAATAGAGTAGTAGCAGAACCATGATCTAATAAATCAAATCTAGCTATAGCATTCTTTCATGGTACCACTCTTTACTACCTAGTATTTGGTGTTAAAATGGTCAGGGTTTTTTTGTTGTTGTTTCCGTTTTGTTTTTTGCTTGGGATCCAGCTTAGACTTGTTCATGCTAGGCAAATGTTGTACCATTGAGCTACACCCCTCATCCTGAATACATTCTTTATTCATAGATTTTTAGCTCCACATAGGAATTTTTTTTGGAGAAAACAGCCAAAATATTTCAGTATGAGCACTGTTTGACACTATACAAAATAATTTTCAGATATATTTTTTAAATAAAAGCATTACATTAAAATCAGTTTCTTCAGTTTACCAGTGATGATTTTGAAACCCAAAGAATTAAATACAGATAATAGCAAGGCTGCATTTAGACTGCCTGAATCTTAGCCATTCTACTTTCAGCATATTTACTGTATTTGGTTCCACAGAGAATATATTACAGGTACAGGTCCCTGATTTGAAACCTTTGGGGCCAAATGTGGGAATTTTGAGTTGTTTTGGTTTTCTTTTTAATTTAGAAAAGATAATGGGGTACATATAACATAAAAGTACTACCTCTGGGGTAGTACTATAATCAAACACATTGGTATCTTATGAAGTTTTATGAATATTCACAGAGGAGATGGGTTTGTAAATTATGAAAGAAAATGGTTTTCAGAACTTAGGGCTTTCTGAACTGTGAATTAGGGATTGTGGACCTTTAATGGCATAAATTGAAAAAAAAAAAATCACTTCTAAACTCAAGAGAGCTGTCAGTCACTGAGCAACTCTTAGGTGCCAGGTATTTGGCCAGGTACTTTATACAACTATTTCAAAATCATGC